CAATAAAAATGTACTTTTAAAATGTTAAAGTCACAAAGATCAAAAACAGGGAACCACGAGGAAAACTTACTGACCGACATACGACAACCGACAAACACAACAGCTTACAACAATGATCTGACCACACGAGGGAAGGAACACTGTAATCAGACACAAGTGAGACAAATGAGACAGGTGAAGACAATCAGGGCAATCAAAACTGGAGGGAAACACACAGAGGCAGGAATAATTTGGCCAGGCCTTGCTCGAAAAAGAGGTAATTTGATCTCAAGCAATTCTGCCTGGTAAAATAAAGGTTAAATAAAATAAAGACAAGAAACACTGAGGACAACTACAAAATACATGAAGCACTGAAGACACTCAAGAATGTAACATCAAGACACACTAGAACATAGAGGGACACAAGGATATGAAATTACAGAATAACAGGAAACACTGAAGATTATTACAATCAACACCAGGAATATTAATTTAAAGAAACACACAAGGGAAACGAGAACCAGGGAAGAAGAAGAAGAAACTCAAACAAGAAAATCTAAACTCTGAAAACACAAAAGCAGATCAAACCATGACAGACATCTACTCTGCAACTTGTATATTATACCTTTAAAGTCTATGAAGGGTCAGCGTTTAGGCTTAAGGGTATTTAAGGCCTTTGTGTTTATAAGAATAAAAAAAGTGGTCAACTAAAAGTTTAGGAGCTTTCCTCTTGAAATCAAAATCCAGAAGTCCACCAGAACGCAGTTAGAACGATTTAGGTCTCCGAAACATGACGAGAGGATTAGTTAGCTTAGAGCTTAGCACAGAAACAGCTGATAGAGATGTCCTTCAGGGGACTACTTTTTACTGTGAGTAAATTTAAGCTAGTTCTTTGTGTACTTTTACTGAAGTGACGAGGTTGAGTTGGGTATTTCTCTTTTACAAAAGTATAAGTTTTTGCACTTGAGTCAAAACATGTTTAATTTTTCCACAGCAGGCCCTGAGGCGATCATCACAAACCCGCCACAGGAAGTAGGAGAGAAGAAGTCGCATGCTTGTAGCCACATTGTGCAGCAGACATTTACATTCATAGCCATGTATTACAACATCAGTGTGAGCACAATGGACTTTGTGTACACTGGTTCATTTCAATCTCCTGGCACTATTGGCAAACCTTTCACTGAATATGGAGGAGAAATATTTCCCAAACCAACCCCCCCCCCATTGAAGCAAGTTCCTCATTTGTGCGAGCGAGAGAGATAGTGTGTGTGTGTCATGAACAGTTGGAAGAATGGTGCATCATGGAAATCATCTGCTGCTGTCAGTCTCCTCTTAGCAGCACGTGTGCATGTCAGTGAGGGAGGGATACATTGAGAGAAAGAGAGGAGAGCGTGAGCGAGTGACACAGTGAAAAAAGTAATCAAAAAAAGCCAAAGAGGGAGCACAGAGCCGGTGGAGTGCCTGAAATGTGTCTGGCATAGCAATTTCTTTCCCACTGTGTGTGAGGAAGATTACCAGCCTGTCCTCCCATAAAGCTAAATGGAACGGGCCTGATGGAGAGAATAAAAACTAAATTACGTAATTACGCAAGTAAACAGCAAGCCGGGAACAAAACTTATTGAGGGGCAAAGCCATCATCCTGAGATGTTTCCGTCTTTATAAAAAAAAAAAAAAACCAAGTAGCATTGTGTTGTTAGAGAAATCTAGCCCTGCAGACAGTGTTTTTCCATGATGCATGTCCGAGCCATATGCTCTTACTGTACAAGCAGAAATACAAAATGTCACATTCACATTCATCCATTTATGTTCAGAAATAAGCGCTTGATTTTGTTTTTGTTTTTAAATGACGTTATTTTGTTTTTAAAAATAAATGACGAGACTCACCCCTTTCCCCATGCTTGACGTCCAGACGTTGGCAGGTTGTAATGTGAAGGACAGCGCTCAGGGGCCCCGCCACAGCTGAGACCTCCCGCCCCCATGTGCTGAAGACACTTGTGGCTTTTTTTGGGCCTGGCACCCCCCCCCCCCCCATCCACGACAAACATCCAGTTCCCTCTCTTCTTGCTCCGTCCTGGCAGGGTAACCTGAGCCATGCAATCCCCCCCCGCCCGCCCTGACTTCACCCCCAAATACTTACACACAGGGGGTTTCTGTGTGTGTGTGTGTGTGTGTGTACCTGCACCTGCTGACAACATCCCCCACCCCTTTCACAACACACACACACATAGTTGCATGTAGAACAACAGGCCATCAATCGCCGCTGTCAACACCACAAATGAAACCTTGCACTCTACATAACATGAGGTATTTATAACAAAATGTGATAATGAGGGACCGATAGTGGCCCTCAGGATTTCTAATGACACGCAGGCGGAGAATCAGCTGTTGGGATTCAGAGCACAGATCCAATCCGCAGCTCTGTTCTTCAAATAAATCCTGTGATAAACTGTTTAATCATTTGGTAATTGATCCTCGAAAAAGAAGAAGTGTTATTTAAGTGCCTTTCTAATGCTTGTATCCAAAGAGAGCGAGCGCTTGTACAATGCTGCATTTGGCTTCCAGTCCAACATATTTACACCATAAGGCAGGTCATCACCATCGCGCCCACACAGCAGATGCAGCCAATGATCTTGTGTCATATACTACCAAATGCCTTTCTACTTGTTGCCAATTTGGACTCTTACTACACAGCGTATAGCGCCTCATCTTTTATTAGCTGGAGACTTTGATGAACGCATGAGACCCTGTAGTGTGCTCACTTCTAAGGTTTCTCTCATTTTCCCTCCTTCCCTCTAAACAGGCTCTCAAGGACACGTTAGCTTGCTTGTTTGTTTCCTAATCACAAGACTTTAGCATATGTCTTTGGGAGAAAAAAAAAAGAAAAAGTAAAGTCCATGAATAAGGTTTCTCATTAAACTGCATTTCACAAAATGTGTTGTTACTTGAAAAACAAAGTGTAAGCTAAGCTACCATAAAGGAAGGAAGGAATAAACAAAAAAGGCTAATTTAAGCCTTAATGGGGTTAGAGGAAGGGTAAGCTAACACATGTTTAGCTGTGCATTCTTGCCCCTAACATAAAGGTAGACTAGAAGCTTTTCCAGTATTGTTTTGTATCTGGCATTAGGCTACACCAGATCTGCACCATTACTTACAAGCTACTGCTTTTGCTAGCGTAACAACACAATTAAGCATGTCAAGGATACACATTTGATACTTTAATTGTGAAAGCAAAACAAAAACATTACTATTAGTCCTGTCATTGCTAAAAAAAAAAAGAAATGTTTAATAGCCAAATATCTTCCCTCCTCTTCATTTAGGAGGAGGGCAGGCTGCTGATGACCGTCTGAAGACACTGATGATGTCATTTTTCTACACACAAACATTTTACTAACAGAGCAACAGTTTAATTGAAAAGTTCAACATTTTGGGAATTTATATTTATTTATATCTTAGATGACAAAACATATCACTCTCATGACCTAGTCAGGATAATCTTATCTTATCCTAGCTTAGTGTAACAACTGCAGTCAGTGAGGACAGATAAGCTACAGCTGTCCAAAGGTCAAAATACTCCTACTGTATACACCTGTTATGCTTGACAGTTAACTTATCTGTTGTACACATGTAGAACATTTAAAATGATAATTCAAAGTTTCAAGGGGAGTTTTTTTCCCTTGCTCCACAAAAAAAATCTGTCTTTAAATCATTTTTTTACGTCTGGAGTTTTGCAAACATACTCGCGGTATGAGGGGGGCTGCTTGACTGAATTAGAGAGCTCTGCTAGCCTCTCATTTCAGTGCGTTTTCTAGGTTAAGTTAGTCGTTTTCTGATGTTTTTAACAAACACGAGTGATGTCTATCTCTTCATATAACTCTCAGAAAGAAAGCAAATCCTTGTACCTCCCATGATGGTGAACTTTTAGGTTATTTCTGTTTTTACAGATTGCAGCACTAGAGCGAAGAGCATAACCTTGCAAAGCGGGGGAAAAAAAACTGCATTCATAGAAAAAGAGCTGGTCTGAGGCTGTTGTCAGTTCACTGGAACATGTTTAAATACATGCAGCTAATGTAAAATGTAAAAACAAAACAGGCTAATTTGTTTTTTTGACGTGTCTGTTTATGGAATATGTTGTTGATTCCCGTCAAACTCATGGTGAAAAGACTTTCTCATAAAATATGCAAAGGAACTCCTTAAACACACGTTTTTTTCTTTAGTATTTGCAAAATGTACAAGCTCGATTGTCAGTGAATTTGAGGGGCTGAAAAACATTTGAACTTTAAAGAGACATGTTAGTTGTTTCTTCACTTAAAGTCTTTCCACTAAGCTTTGCGAGTAGTTTCCTGATGGATCGCACAAAGACGAGTGGTATCAACCAGAAATGAGCAACATTCATTCAGGTGCTGTGGCAAGCTGAGCAGGTCATCGGGCATCAGTTAAAGACTGTGATGCGTGTGTAACTGTCGGAATATGAAGCAGAGTATTTACAAAAAGGTTATGTATGCTCACTGAAACCCGCCTGCAAGTTAAGTCAGGAAAAATTAAGCCTTTCCGAAAATTACACCTCATTTCGTCCTCCAGTAAAATGTGAAAAGGTTGTAAATGGTCCCTGAGCATTTATTGTAATCATCTTTACTTTAACACAGCTGGGTAAAAAAAAAGGGCATTATCAGGTGAAACCATTTTAGCCCTCACCTGCTGACATCAAGCAGAAGTTTCAAAGTTCAATTCCAAAATTAAATTCCTAATGTTTAAAAAAAAAAAAGAGAGAGAGAGAAGAGAAAAATTACCTCGTGGGCCGTCCTCAGAGTTTAAAAACCTTCAGATAAGGTCCTGCATATTCGTAAATGCTTTTAGATAGCCATTAAGAAGTTGTGCTTTTATGCCAGTATTCAAATTCTTCAAATGTTGGGCATCTCATTTTCTTCTTTTGAAAAGTTCATGAAAGTATATCTTGGCAGAGAGAAACCGTGACAGATTTTCACAATGCTTGGGACTTGGAAGCGAAAGAAAGAGACTGTAGACATTTTCAGCTGGGTTTACTTTACTGTCTTCTGTTGACAACAGCTGCGCTTGGGGCTTTTTTTATTTATGGTCTCTTTACAACATATTATACAGAGTCATCAAAAGTTGTTAGCGCTCTAGATTTATCAGAAGCATTAAAAAGAAATGTAAAAAAAAAAAAAAAAAAAAAAAAAAAATGTGTAAGAAGCTCCAGTCATTTGAAATAAAGGAAGGTTAATTTTTGCAACTATGACTAACACAGTTCATAATACATATAAAACACTTTTAAAAGGCTTTTTAGTGCTGTTTGTCTTATGTCAGGTGTCTGTGTGGCTTTGCAGAAAAAGAAGAAAACATTCAAACTAATCCATCTGACTGGATAGTTAAACAGCGACTAGTGAAACAGATCTCCAGTTATAAACATGGATTTTTCTTTTTTTTTTTAGCACCTCCATTCCTGTTATGAATTTTAAAGGAACATTCAAGTCTATGCTATCCACCCTGCATATCAAGCACGCAGATCACAATCCATCTTTGGCTCAGGGTTGGAGAAGGAGCACCTCTTAGAGAAAGCTCTGGGGGAAGAGCCGGCTCTATCAGTGGTGATACATATGGATTTTTGGCTTGGCTTAACACGTCAGATAACTCTCTTCCACCAAAGCTTTCTCCTTCAGCAAGCACCTTCCTCCCCTCGCCTTTTTTTTTTTGTTTTCACTCCCTAGCCACATCGCGCTGAATCTGAGGCTAACCCCACCTTTATTCACCTTTAATCCTTTCTTCTTCTAACACTGCATGGAAAACCTCGATTTACCTTCTGCTCGAAACAGAAACGACAGCCACACAGTACCTTCCATAACACACGAGGTCAGAAACATAATCACATCTTTCATGAAACGCAACTACATTTTCTTCCCTTGGAAAAAACATGTTCTTCCTGTTGTTTCTTGTGTAAAACATTTCAAAATACATTATTTGCTTTACTTAGGGTGACACTGTTTTTGCTTATATCAAATCTAATTTTTTAACACTCTTAACTTAACACACATATACATAAAACACACGTCGTATTTGCGACCGGAAGAGAGCTAGCTAGATTATGAGTTTCTGTTTGGCGTCTTTAGCGAGAACTAAAGGCGAATTTCTGCCAATATGTTTGCCTTCCTTTGCCAGGAGGGGGCAGAGGAGAGCATTTTTTTTGGCATTCGGACCAGCAGAAACAAGACAGTAAGGTTGGCTTGGGGGAAGGGGGGGGACGGGTGGGCCGGCAGGGGACATGCCTTTGGCGGGTGGTGGAGTTTTGAAGGGCGAGTGAGCTGGCAGTCGTCGATCATTGGGCAATACGGAGGGAGGGGTTTGGAGATGTCCGACTCAAGAGTTTTAAAAATAGAAGAAGAAGAAGAAGAAGAAGAAGAAGGACGAGGAAGGACTGAAGAGAGGAAAGAGGAGTCAGAGCATTGTGCTGTAGGCTTGGCAGTCAGATAAGGAGAGGCTTAAAGAGCGGAGTGGATTGTGTAGAGGCCTTTTTTCTGTGGTGGGGAATAATGCAGATCAGAGTCACCCGACGACAGGAAGAGGAAAGAGATGAAGAAAGGCAAAGACGTAAGGACAGAGAGAACGAAGGAGGAGTTCGGAGATGAATCCAGAGATGCGAATAACAAGAGGAAGGAGGAGAGAGAGAGAGAGAGAGAGAGAGAGAGAGAGAGAGAGAGAGAGAGATGTCGAGAGAGATATCCCTTCACCGGCACGTGCTATAATAATTAGCCTTGGGTTGGCAAGGAGAAACGTGCAGGCGGATTAACCGGACCTAAAATAACTCTGAGAGCACAGAAGCTGCACCTCTTCCCATAAGCCCCTTTGTCAGACTCCTGAACGCGCCTGACCGCCCTCTGTGGCCGTGACGTCATTCCAGGTTGTCAGTCACCGGCCGCCGAGTCGACAACGGACAGCCCCCCCCCCTCGTGCACAAAAACTTGCCTCTCTCTCTTCTTCCCCCTCCCACCTTCCCCCCCCAGATGGCTGAAGAATGTGCAGCTGTTACAGTAAGCCCTGTACGTTCTTATAGGGCCAGAAATAGCCCCCCTTTAGCCGGGGCAGGGACACGGGGCGACAACCTCCATTAGCTCAAATGTTGAGAGGATTGAATCACCCCGAGCTCCGGGGGCTTGAACCTCTATCTCTGCTGGGCCGAGAGCAGGAATCATATTTCTCTGCCGCTATCCCTCTCCTCTGCTTCTCTGTCTCTCTCTTTTTTTTTTCTCTCTATCTGAAGTCCAGAGTGCGCTCGCAGCTCCGCTCAGTGTGTGTGATTGAGTCGTAAACATTAAAGCGGGAGATTCAGGGGACTCTAAACACAGTGGGACGGTCTTTTCGGGTTTCCTCTTAAGGATGTTATGTGCATAGTTAGGCCTTGAAACTGTTTTTTAAAGGCTGCCCAATGAGTGCATATAGGGTCTCCTATGAGACGTTTTTTTTTAAATGTATTCGACGCCAATGCCACTGATATAGCAGGGCTATTCTTACAGCCAGTGCTGTCTGGAAAGAGTGGAGATAATAGGAAATAATGGGGGTTGCATCAGGCTGAGCAGAAAAGGAGGGAGCAGACTAGAGGAGTGGAGGCAGTCATGGAGAAGTCAGACCTTTATCTATGGGAGAGAGAGAAGAGACAGAAAAGAGGGAAGGGAATTTGAGAGAAGAAGAGAAGAGAGAAACAGGATAGGGCAGTTAGCATATAAATCACTTCTGTAATTTGAATTAACAAGAAAAGGCAAGAAATGAAACAGTGGAAGAGGGAGAAATGTGATAGGAGAGGTGAAGAATGGAGATCAGCTTTGAGGGGGAGAAAGTTAGAGTTTGACACGATGCCTCAAAAAAAAAAAAGAGAAAAAAGAGAAAAAAGGCAAATTGGCTTGTCCCAGCAGCTTGGGTTTGGTGATGCATATCGGACGCACTTGGAGAGAGAGAGCTGGATCACAATGAAAGGAACCAGAAAGGCAAAAACTCGGGGAGTGGCTTTTTTTTTTTTTTTTGATTTTGTTATCAAACCCCTCGTCGTCTTAGGGGTCTCGCTTCAAATGGCATATCTTATGACCTGACAAAAGTAGTCGGGGGTTGCCGGCTGGTGTCAGAGATTATCACGGCATCTTAGATCTGTCGCATCTCATACGGTTGCGTCTACAGTCCTCGGCCTGTGACCAGAGCTGATATGATTTGACTCATTTATTCAGGGTTTGCCGTTGTAGTGGGTGTAAAGTAGGTTTGTGATTGAACTCTCCTGCTGCCTCCTCAGTAGACTTCCCACTCTCTTATCCTCGACCCCCCCCCTCCCCTCCCTCCCCTTCCCCTTTGGCCTTCCCCCGCCCCCCCGATAGGTGTGTTATTTGAAGGTGAGCTGATTGGCGAGGCGGGAGAGGAGGCCAAGGGACTTTGACCTCCCTATTCCTCCCTCACCGGCGGGCGCCTCCTCCCCGTTTTTGCGGGTCAGCTCCAGCTCGATGGTCATCAGCACCCTGCCCGAGCCTTCCTCCCCTCCTCCTCCTCCCCCCACCTTCTCTGTCTTTCTGACTACGGCCCGCTGCTTCTGCTCGGGCTGGGACTTGGCCATCGCCTGGCGCACGGGCTGGAGCAGCCGGCCGGCGAGCCCGCCCCAGCCCCTCCCCGTATCCTATTTCTTATCCTTGCGCGACTCCTGCTTCTTCTTTTCAGAGGCGGCCGCCTTCACCTTGGAGGGGTCGGCGGGAGGCGCGGGGCCCTGTGGGGGGAGGAGGGAGAGGGGGTCGGGGGGAGAACAGGGGAGGAGAGTCACTTCAGGAGGAAAGGAGCGTAAGGGAGATAGAGAGATAGAGAGAGAGAGTGAGGGAGAGACGGGTGAGATGGGTGCGTTAAAGGTGAGAGGATGAGAGATGTGGTTAGCAGGACGGGTGGAGCTGTGTGAAGAGGAGAGAAAAAAAACACCTTTAGGAGGGGGGAGGAGGTGAGAGAGACATAACAAAGAGACAGGGGTGAGGAGGTAGAGAGACAGTCCTTTTAGGGGAGGGGGTAGCAAGTGAGAGGGGGTGGAGTCCAGAGCTGTAAGGGGGTGACAAAACAGGTATCCATGCGTTAGGATGGGACACAGTGGCAGGTAGACTCCATACACCTGCGACAAAAGATCAATGACCCAAACTTGCACATGTATCCCAAACTTGGTTCATATTAATGTTTTTTAGAATTTTGTGCCGATAATAAACAACTTTAAATTGGACTTTTTGTATATAAAGTATCTCTAATTTCCCTCCAGTGTCTCTCTTGTCACATAAATCAGTCCAGAGAAAAGATTCATTCAGGACATTTTGGAAATAAAATGTTAAACCAGTAATACATTTGACTGAAAAGTGACATTGTATTTACATCTAAACGTCATTTTCACTGTTCTGCGTCCCAATGAAATAAAGCCATTAAAGGCTGTAGAAACTAAAGTCTTATGTGACCAACATCAAATAAAACCAAACACAAAATCCATAACCTCTTCTGAAATATTTAAATCTTTTTTTGTATTCATAATAAAGTTTCTGTTGCCTTTGAGTTTATTTTTCAACCGCAGTTTATTATCCTAATGATTGTGTTATTCAAATACATTTCTTCCTTGTTTGTTTTTTTGCTTTATTTCTTTCTTTATGATTTTGGTGCATAACTTGTTTAATGCATAAATTGAGAGAATGCATCGTCTAGCCAGGACCCTTTTAAAAAAAAAAAAAAAAAAGATGATGCCTCCTCAGGCGTAATCATTAAACTTTAATCTTTCAACTAGATTTAACTCAGTGTACAGACACCTTCTGTAAACATAACATTTAGACTTTTACAGTTACACTCAAAACTAATAGATAAGTAGATCTATTATATTGTTTAGAAGACAAGCTGCACTTCAAGGCACACAACCCTGTTACATTCGTAAAGGGGAAGTATGAGGAAATTAAATAGTTGTTTACAAATCCTATAATGAGGCTATAAACGGGAGGAAAGATCAATCAATATGGATTCCTCTGTCGCTGCGGTCAGAGAAAAAGCTCCTCGACTCTCTGAGTGATATTTTTATATAAAGGCCGACGTCAGCTTGAAATATTCATCTAACTACAACTTATATAATTCACCCATTCACTCCCACTCATTCTGCATATTGTCTGTGCAGTGTCTAAAAAAAAAAAAAACATCTCTGAAAAAGAAATCTATAAAAAAAAAAGGAAGAGGAGGGAGGAGGGAAAAAAGGGAAGTAAAGTTAAAGTGAGGCTCTGCACTTGTGCACAACAAGTCCACGAGGAAGGAGTGGACAGGGTGGAGATAAGGTCAAGGTAACACTTAACTTTACAATAGCCGTGTGCCAGTGCATTAACCTGCGAGTTCACCCGCTGAGAAGTCTCACAAGTGCACGATAATGCTCTGAAGGAGCTTAATAAAACTTCACTCATACAGAAGGTAGCGCTCCTACTTTTTTCTCTGCTCCTCCACCGGTTGACCTAAAGGCCTGCATGCTGCTTTTTGAGAGTGAGTGAGGACATGCTGAGGAAGTATTTCAGTCTCCAATCCTCACATCCAGCAGGCTTGCTATTCACTCTATTACATCAGGTTAGTAGACGGTGGAAAGCACACTGGAGGCTGCTTCTACCCACTGAAGCCTCCGACTAATAATACCCCGCTGATTGCATTAGAAAATTTATCATCTTTAATTATGCACTGTGCAAAAGCAGCACGCTCTCTGATAAGGCGGCAATCGAGGCGGCTGCCATCCGACTCGATGGGGCAGCTGCACATCCCATCCGGTGTCGTTACCTTTCGATCATACTTACACTCCCTCATACATCAATGCATTGTTTACCATTATGCATCCCACGGCACGGCTCTGTTTTTGGTGCAATGTATTGCATGAGGCTCCCACGCTAATGACAGATCTGCCTCGTAAACACACAGGAGCCTGCCAAGGCTGAATGCAAAATCACCCCCCCACCCCACCACCAACACCACCACCTTGTTACAGGGGCTGCACACACTTCAAAGGAGATGTGGGTACAGTGGCCAAACAGGAGGGGACCAGTGGGGAGGTAGATAGGTAGTTAAGTGGCCGCGTCCCCTGCTGCATACTAAAAAAAGAGACGGTTACAGGTTGAGGAGGGCGATTGAGAGGTGGATGAAGGGTGAGGGGTAGTGATTTTCTGTCCAGAACCGAAGCTGATCAGAACCCAGAAGACCTGAGGAGGAAGAAGGAGAGAAACTGGAAAAGGAGCGGGAGGGGAGGGGGGATTGACAGAGCGAAAGAGGAGAGGAGTGGGGGGTGAATTACAGACAGATAGATGCTTCTCATGGTCAGCGAGGAAGTCAAAGAGAGAGAGGGAGAGGCACGAGGTGGAGGAAGGGGAAGGAGGAGGATGCAACTGAAGGGAGGGAGACAGGGGAGGGGATAAAAGGAATGTGAATGAGAGAGAATGAAAGAAGGAGGGAGGGAGTTAGTGAAGTGAAGGGGAGAGAGGAGAGGAGAGGAGAGGAGAGGAGGGTGGGAGGCCATTGGGGGATGGAAAGAAGAATGGGTGTGTGTGTGTGCATGCGTGCGCAAGGCTAAGATCGATACCAAGTGCACTCAATTATCATTCCAGTACAGTATGTGTGTTCACTCCTGTGAGCTTGTGTGGCTGCAGGGTAAACTCCTCTCCCACAACTCCACCTAATGGGGACTAGCACACACCACAGGGTTCCTTTGTCTCGCTGTCTCCCTCCCTCCCTCACCCGCAGCTTCTTTTTCTTATTTTCTTTTTGGAGATTTGTAGTGCAAGGCCAGCAAACGGGAAAGTAACGAAGATGGCGCGGCTGATACAAAAATTGTGTTGTGTCAGCAGAGTCTCCTAATAAGGGCTATTTGATGAAACAACCACTTATGAGCGCACTGTGAAAATCCCCAGAGTCCTCTGTGTGCGGTGTAGCTTCAAGAGAGGAATCAGCTCTGAGGGGAGGAAATAAATAAAAATGAAAAAAGAAGGGATCTTAAACTCGGACGGAGAGGCTGTGTGTATTTCTTTTTCTTTCTAGAGCCGGGCTTTGCAGGAGAGTAACTGTAAATGACAACATTGTCAAATATTTCACTGTCCTTTCGGCGGCGAGTTATTTATTCATATATGCACTGTCACCCGCCGCAGGCACTTGAGAGCAACTGACTGCAGCTCAAGAGTAACCTGACAATCACACGACAGAAGAAAGGGAAGAAGAAGACAGAGGGAGGAAGAGGGAGGGGGGCTCCAGGGAGATGAGAAGGAGCGCTCTTGTTTGAGGTTTGGCCCTCTCTGGTATCGCCCTCTAGGTTTCGAGCAGGTGATGTGTCACCAGGAAGAAAGTTGGCTTTAAGAAGCGGATCTTATAGGGAATGAGGGGACATGATTTATTTTCTTCACTTATTCAATTATTGTACTTATTTATTTATCCATCCATCATCTATACTGGTTAACCCGTTCAGGGTCGCGGGGGCACTGGAGTCGATCCCAGCTGTCACTGGGCGAGAGGCGGAGTACACCCTGGACTGTTCGCCAATCAATCACAGGGCCTTATTTATTTATTCTAAAGATCATTTTCTGGACTTTTTCATGCTTTTAGGTCCCGAACATTGATAAAATACTTCATAAAATGTTGATCCAATAATATATATTGGTATAATTTGAGCCTGAAACGTCTCACTTTGGCAAGAGCAGCAGCAGTGAATCACCCTGGGGAAACTTTTTCATTTATTAACCACCTTGCTTCTTTGCAGGACAGTTCAATACAAAAAAGTTTCTTCAGAGATGAATTAGAAATCCAGAATGTTTTTTTTACCATTTTTCCTTACATGTCAGAAAATAATCTAGTAAGTATCAGAGAAATAGAGAGATACTTTATCTTTATCAAAGCCTAGAGAAGCCCTCATCAGGCGTGCACGCATACAATGATGACGCATTATTCTCCGATTGTTTTCCCGAGATCTCCACTTCTGTTTGTCGTTATCTTGAGATGACTACACCAGTTTTCCTGTGATAACGAGTTTATTTCTTGAGAGCTCGAGAAAAACAACGGAAATCAACCCGTTATCACAGGACAACACTGATTTATGGAGCTCTTCATAAATAAGTAATTATCTAATTATTTACCAAGTATCACGGGGGAAACAGAGTGAAATAAAAACATATGGAAGTGTGTCCTCTCGGGGCTTCCATAGTAAGAAGATTATGAAGCAGTTTTGTCAGACAATAAGCTGACAGAACTTTTAATCATGACTTTAAGTAGATATTTTATTGCATTACACACGAAGGATTCTGCATATCTATTTCTTGCAGCAGATAAAAATCTATCAATAAATACACATTTTTAATAATGTTTGATCTTTTCATTTAATACCAAACACCAAAAATGAAGTTATTCTGGAAATATGAGCCAGGTGTAAGGCTTAGTGTATAACTATTTCACATTTTTGTGAGCAACATATGTGCACACATATGTGCGGTCAATTAATGCCAAGTTCAAGTTTGGCTGTGTCATAAAATCCAGAAATTCTAACAAATGAAAAGCTGGATTTAAGCTCATAGAGTTGACTGTGATTACTGAGCTGAACCAAATCATCTCGCTCGCTGAAAAGACCCCAATTTCCCACGGGCAGTTTGGGCCACAGGGGGAAGATGGTACACTCCTTACCGCTGGCAGAAGCCTGCAGACACCGCCGCCGCTGCTGCTGCTACCACGTCTTAACATTAGCTGCTACCTGCGGCTAAATAACTCCCTGTCACAATGGCACCTTTGATCTCCTGCCTCTGATAACTTCAGAGTGTCTCTCATTTCAAAGCTGATTTTTGATTTGGAAAAACGCCTTGAACTTAAGTCCCGCGACTCTAACTGTTTTTTTTTTCCCGCCATTATCAGCATGCAAGGCGTACAGTCGATTACAATGCACCCCCGCAAACCATCCAGCCCCCGCATTACCACGGAGTAATCAAACAGAACTTGCCCCGGTGCCTTGTATTCACTGAAGAATACAAGCCACCAAAATGTCTGATTAATCCACCACTTTAGGCTATCGCACTCCCAAGAGGAAAAGAGAGAAAAAGGAAATAGCCCAGATCCTTGGCGCGCAGCAGAGTAAAAAACCACTGATAACAGCCTAGATCATAATAGGCCCAGTGATTTTCATTTGACTCCCAGTGAGCGAAATCAGCAGCTCCCGTCCGTCTCCCCGACTGTGAGCAAATCTAGCCTCCATTCAATACCTCAATAGCATTACGGCTGTGACACGGCCTCAGCCATTTCGCAGCCGCTGGTTTTGATTTTCGCCCTGTGGCTGTTTACTCGCACCGTGCTGTTTGACCCCCCTGAGGGAGCTGAAGGAGGGGGAGAGAGAGAGAGAGAGAGAGAAGGACCAGTGAGAGCTTTAAAGCACCACATATGTTGAGAATCTTAACAGCTTGAAGACTGTTATTAAACGCTCGCCGGGCAGAGTTTGAATGACGTGTTATTTTGTTGTTGATTATGTAGCTTCGAGGAGGAGCCGGGTGGGACACATCAGAGCTGCCTGGACTGGCATCGGGGGGGGGGGGAATGCGATTATGCAACCGCGCCGTTCTGCACTGTCATGTCTGATGTGTGCTATTGTGAGGCTGCGCTGCTTCAAAACAGATGAATATTCCTCTTGACAACATGTTTCCGGGGCGCCTTACAAATATCCCAACACCGAATGCCATTGTAATCTCTTCAAAAAAAAGATGCTATTTAGCGGCAGAACATGACAGGAGACGGAGCTGTTGCGTTTGGTGTCTGTCGACTGGAGGTGTAGATGTCATGGAGGGTGTGAGGAAAGAGGAAGAGGAAGAGGATGGAGGAGGAGGAGGAGGAGGAGGAGGGGGGTGTGACGGAAGGAGAGGAGGTGACTTGCCTGTCTCTGCTGTGATCCCTCTTTCTTTTTCTTGCCATGTTTGCTGGAGGGGACAAAAAGAAAGACAATGTCAGGATGTCGAATCTATCTCTCCCTCCAGTGGTCACAGGGCAGCATTGCCTGGCAGCCATCATAAAGAGAACATCAAGCTAATCTACGGGCCCCTGTCTCCAACACAAGCCCCGCAGCTACAGGATGTGTTATGATCTCATAAGATTGGATAGGTATAAGCAAGACGACGGATACATCATCTTCATGATCTGGTGGATTATCCACTCGGAGACCTTCACTTCAACTCTTTTTAATCGCTTCCTTTGGATCTTTGCAGTACTGTTTTTAGATTAAATTTAATTGCGAGATCATTATCTGTCTCTCTCCAGCTGATTTACTCCAGATCTAAACTTTGCACACCTGACCAAAATGAAAATGGTGACACTGTGACTATGCCAGCTTGGCCACGCAGGTGTCGGTGCCAGGGATGGGCTCTGGCTTCAGCGCCAGTCCCTGGCACAGACCGGACTGGCAGAGCAGCGCAGGCCACAGGCCGGTCACTGACCTGACACTGAGGCTGAAGACGCGGCGCGCCACCAGGAACCTCATCAGGTAGTAGATGACCACAATGAGCACCAGCAGGCCCAGCACCACCCCGATGATGGCTCCCGTGATCACGCCGGCCTGGATGGGTACTGTGGGCAGAGGAGAGAAATTGGGAGCATAAAAAGGAGGATGAGAAGGAAGAAAGTGACACAGAGAGGTAGGGGAAGGTTTGAAATAATAAAGATGCTTTCATACAAGGGAAGAAAAGGAGGTGAGAGGTAAGCAAGGCACAAATCAAAAAAGGAAAAGGAATCGGAGATGAAAGAAGGAAAGAGAGCAAAGGTAAAATAAAGGTTGAATGAAAGATGAAGAAAACAAGTGCAGCAGAGGCAGAGGCAGGGGAGGAAAAGATAAGGTAGAATAAAGGTGAGTGCAGGGACAGAGTCAGGGAGGGGAGAGGAGGGGGCACAAGACGATGGGGGGACAATGCGGGAGGGGACAAGACGATGGAAAAGGGGAAAGAGGACAGAAATGGGATAAGAAGGCAAGGAGGAGGAGGGGGGGATGAAAAGGGAGGCAGTGATAGCAATCTCAAAAAGAAAAAGAGATAAAATTGTAATTGATTTCATTTAGCAGGAGGTGCGGGGAATTCTAAACGAGGCGGCGCTACGACAAGTCTGTAGTCTGATGTGCAGAGCAAATTGAGATTAATTTCAGAGTTTGGGATGATTATAACAACAATTGAAAACAGTTGGCTCCTGATGACAAAAATTCACTAAAATGTGCCATATGGGCTCAGTGGAAAGCTAACGAGCAGACACAGATGTAAGACAACACAGGCATTAGGACTTTGGATTCGATTTTCCTGACGAACTCCCGCAGGACTCACAGGACTCCTTCTGTCTCACCCTTCTCAAAAACCAGCAGGCGAACGCTGGAGGGCCGGCCCACTATGTCAGGGGGGTTCTTGGCGTCGCAGGTGAAGGTGCCGTTGTCGTTGAAGTCCAGGTTCTTGAGCAGGATTGAGCCGTCGCGGCGGCCCGGGTTGCCCACAAACTCCAGCCGGTCCCTGAAGGGGCCCTTGTTGTCAACGTAGGCAGCACCACCGGTGTAGTGGAAGATCTTTAAAGGATAAAGAAAGCTTTACTTATTATACATGTGCAATGACATGCATTTACTTGAGGGTTTACTACTGCACCCATTGGTTTCTTAAGACACAATTTGAAGCCCAATGATGCTGGTTACCATTGAGGAAACGCTAACTTAACCTTAATTTCGACCAATCTTGTTATGAGCAAAGAGCTGGAACTGAGGGGGGTCTTAAGCCTCCTGGTAAACAGCTACAAGTGTACACCTGTCAGTCAATCCAGTAATTCTTTGCCTGTATATAAAACTAACAAGATCAGTAAAAATTCAACCCCTGTATGATTAACCAATAAAAAAAAGAGCTATAGAATTTTTTTATTTTTTTTGTTCTAGGCTTTAAAAGTGTTTATTTCTGCTGTAAAAATTGGCATTTTCATATGGGAGCTAATGGGGATTGCTTTGTTTTTGCAGCGGGCCTCAAGTGGACATGCTAGGAACTGCAGTTTTTTGCACTTTGGCTTCAGAGATTGCCGCTTGGTTGTTGCTGTTGTGGTTTATTTGTATTTTATAGTTGTAAACAACATCATGAGACAAATGCATGATTCTGGTGTGCACCAGCAAGTGCTTCTTAATTGGTATCAAATATCTTTCAGTTCTGTGTTGGGCTCCACAATCTCCCGAGGGTTGAATTCACTCTTTTTAGCAGCTAAACGCTCCAGTGTGTTAGCTAGCAAGTCGCTATCTTTGTCCGTCTACTCTTTGGCCTTTGACAGGAAGTTAACGGCGTCTTTTTTGCTGCTGTTTCAGGCTGTGATGAAGCCCAAAGTCATAGCATTGAGAGCGAGTAAAAACATCTAAGTTGACCGACTGTAAAACCAAAACAATGTGCTAAAGGGGGCTAAAAGATCTCAGAACTAGTGAACCAGTACGGTCAGACGATCATTGTGCAACATCTTGTATTTATTTAATCTGAGCTTGACTTCATGTCTAGATTGAAGCAGCTTAAAGTCAAACATGTTTCAATGCTAGCCTGGCTGGTTGTGTGTCTAGTCAAGTTTGCCGGCTAGGAGGCTTAGCTCACAAAGGCTTTTCACTTTTTTTTCTTTAAACATGAGCATTTCTGTAGAGAACGTATTTACAGTTTTTAAGTGAGCTGTCAAAAAGTATGGTTTTCATACCACACAAGTCTGAACCATCAGCTCTAGTATTGACAAATTTTGTTAGCCCGACATATAAGGGCAGAAGACGGCCGAACTAAAAGCTTAATGATTTTTCAGGGAAGCCTAAAGTGCCAGAGGCGTAAGCAAGGGTAAGTCGAGTCAAATCCATTGGTTTATTCAGTACATTTTATATATATGACGGACATATTCTCAATGTGCTCTGTAAGCTAAGTCGGTGCTGTTGCTGTAGAATGTACAAGGTCGAGGCCAAATTCAGCTTTTATTTTGGTGAACAAAAAGTTTAAATTTCAGTTCAGAATTGAAGGTTTGATGCTGAAAGAGGCTGCATGAATCATACGCAGCCTTTTTATGTGGTATGAACATATCAGGAATCTAGGGACAAATGCACCATGAAAACTGATACAGAGACATATGAAACTGTAAATCTGTCCCGGCGGGGGAAAGAAATAAGCGACAGATGATAAGTGGAAAAAAAAAAAAGGGGAGAAGAGAAATCTAGTTTCAAAGTGAGGGCACTGCGGGAGACGGATGAAAGCAAAGGAGGTGAGGGGAGGAGGTAATGAGAGAGGTGGGGAGGGACAAAGAAGGAAGGTTCTGGGGAGGAGGAGATTAAGGGAGGTGGACAGAGGGAGGCGCAGTCAGGACGGGGAGATAGAGAGATTAGAGCGATGGCAGGACGATAAGGCCGGGGAGAGTGAAATTAAAGAGCAGGAGGCAGGTGAGCCAGCAGGAGGAGGGGGTGGGGGGGGGGGGGGGCAGACTATGAGGGATAGTGTATTGTTTCCTTCTTAATACAAGAATGCAGCACTCAGAATAAATTGAGTATTGTTTGAGTGTGTGATGACATTTTAGATAATCACACAGAGCTGCATTCATCAGAATAAACTGGGATTCCTTTGTTTTTTTTTTGTTTTTTTGTTTTTTTGATTAATGCAAGTGTTGGTAAGAGTGCTCAAATAAGACACCAAAACCATGAATTACAACATAATGCAGCAAAAATGATCAATCCTGTTGTATCCTTGATATCCTGTGATTAAAGAGCTGCTGTCAGTTTGAGGCGGTTCTGGCAACCCTCTGAGGACAAGAGTGACACGTCTTTTCTCTTTTCTGATCTTGTTCCGTACGTGCGTAGGAAGATGTTGTTACTGTCAAAAGTCGCGTTCTTTAACAGTCAAGTTAATCGCTCATTGTGGAAAATCAAAAACAAAAATTGCAGTTTCTTCTAAATTGTCTCGTCTGACACCTACCCCGCGGCAAATGTTACAGGAATTTAAAAATAACCACGTAGAAACAGTCAATCCTGTCCCTGATGGGCTTGTTGGATTTTGTTGGTCATAAACAGGCATCACTGTTCATTTTAATCAGTTTCACAACTAGTTAAAAAGATTCCTCACAGGGGCTTTAAAGCTGCACACAGTTTGCAGTTGATCCCAAATCGGTCATAAATATATATTTAATTATTTGGTAGAAATATTTGTTTGGAGAAGTCGTTCCATGTGACATCAGTACACACAACACCCTCCTCTGTCAAGACCCGTGCCCCTCTTGGTGCCTGGTATGGGCAGCGAGGGTGTAAACAAAAACGTCTTTTGACAAAAGAGGTTAGCCATTGTTGTCAGCGGTACTTGTCCGTTGTGCAAGCAGCCTGTTTTGTATTTCCTCCTTAATATTAATGTAGAATTTGTTGAATTTGATAAAAAGGTTAACTCTCAGATGGAGTAAATAACATGAGAGGAAGAGCAGCAGAAAACAGGACACTGTTCTCCTCTGCTGTCACTTCCCCCTTAATGACTTATGCTTAATATCGAGACTCTCGTCTGCAAACAGCCGAACACTATCTCCATTAACTCCTTTCCCCGACTTTCTCTCACTGTCCTCGGGAGCTGGGCGGGTGTTGTATGTTAGCTATCACAGCAAAGAAGCCGCAGAGGAACACTATGTAGAGATGACGTTGGTCACAGACAGATCTCACCATATCGATATATGTTTGAATACCATGGCAACCAGCAGTCCTGGGTGCTCCATATTGTGTAATTTCTTATTTTGTAATTACCAAAATATGTAGGAAAACTCCTGCATTCTTTCTTAATTGCAAAACTCTTTTTCTCGAGGCAGCTTTTTGGTTGAAAAGAAGACTGAAGTTTTGACCTTTTTTTCTAAAGCTTCGGCACTTTTCGACGACATTTATCCAACAGTGGTTGCATCATTTTGAAATCTTAGTAGGTTGACAACCTTAGTAGATATTAAACACTACTTGTCATTTAAACTGAAGTAATGATCTTTTTAGCACCTTTAATGCAAGAAATCCAGCTTGAAGAGCTTTACAAGAAGCAAGTAAGTAAAGTAAATACACTGACAACATACGCCTACGATGTGATGAACACAGCTGAGCAAGGCTTTACTTTTCTTTATAACAAAAAACACAAGAATTGTATTCACAGGTTCAATATTTACTCTCATATAATACAGATTAGAGCCCTGGAACTTCTAAACAAACTTTGATGGATATTCATAAGGTTAGAATTTAACCAATTCATCAAATTTATGTAAACAAATATCTAATTAAAGACCCCCCCTAACAGCTGTACTGGAGCGTCACCTTCCTCATGCATGCCCACTTTTAGAGTGTGGATTTAAACTGAAATATTTGAGGGTGAGGAGGTGAGGAGTTCTTGAAGTTTAGCGTCATGTTTTGAGCTTTTCTACGTGGGTAGAGATTTATTCATTGCCTGATTTTACGAGGAAACTGTCTGCTTACCCGACATTAAAACGTCCTTACAGGATCACAACATGATTTGATAATTATACATCTGTCCAGTGCCACACTTTTCAAGTCCTCAACTAGCCTGTAATGTGTGTGTGTGTGTGTGTGTGTGTGTATATGTGAATTACAGAGATGCTGTCCCGGGAGCCATCAGGCCTGTACGTCCAGGAGAAGGTGACGTCCTCGGAGGTCCAGCGCCAGGAGAAGAAGGAACAGGACAGCCGGATGTCGGAGCCCACCAGGGCGTGGCGCTCCCAGCCGGTGTAGATCACTATGGCCTGGGACTGCTCAGGCACTGGGACACACAGAGCAGGTGGATGCTTAGCTCACAAATGAACACATCCAACACACATCCAACACGTCAAATATCAGAAGGGTTGCATCGACTATTCTCTTTCTTACATATGACTACAATAGGAGTTACAAGCTGCAATACTGACTGAGATATCCAGACAGTAAATCCGGTTTGTTGTTGATGTAAATGCAATGTACTGACAGGCTTTTCTCCATAACTCACAACATGCATTAACATTTTTACAATCCTTACTGTAATCACAGGCACACAAAGCATTACTCACTTTGCATTTAATTAGTTTTTCTCCTTGAAATCAGTCACAACAAAGCCCACATACTTAAATATGCACCGAGACACACGCTGATAAACTAGACATTTAGTCGTGCCGGCTCCTCCATCGACTCAGACATGCACTCAGTAAATATTTGGATTATCACAGGAATATCGGTGCTGTGTCTCTTAAAGTCAAAGGGGAACATCATTTTCTCCGTTAATATGGATTATGTTGGCTTAATCACGGGCACACTGTTGATGCTTGGATAATATTAAATGATCGATGTTAATTCGGTTTGGCTGCAGAATCAATATTTTACTTCCCTTGGAAAAAAAAAATGCACTCAGCATCTCAAACAAGCAGCAAATCCCGTGGGGGAGCCGTGCACCCTGCCACTCTTATGTTAGTGAAAAAGCAGCATTTGTGCTTTTGTTCAGTTTCCCTTAAAGAATGTAAATGGGCCACCCTATACATAGCTGTATTCTAACATCTATATTTGCATTACTGCTCTCTTCCCCTTTTCAACACCTGGAAGGTAAAGTTCACCGCTTGCTCTGAGAGCCGTCCTTGAGTGAACACCTTTAGAGCAGACAGCCACCGCAGAACTTGTCAATGAAATCACGCTTGACGCTTTTTTAATTAAAATTCTGACAAAACTGAAAACACCTGACAGGCTTGGGGAGCAGACAAAGCTGTCGACTTGAGAGCAAAAAGTGTCTGCCAACCTTTGGTGGAGAAGTCACAATATTAGTGCTCTTTAACTTTGCAGGCTTAGAGACAGCTGGTTTTAAAAAGAGGAGCACCAAATCCTCTTATTAAGCGTCGGGTCATTCGTCACAAAGCACCATGAGGATGTCCTCTACAGGTGTGCTGATGGCTTTGTTTCAATTAAAAGGCATAAGATATTCATTTAAAATGCTTTGGTTCTGTGTTAAGCCAGTGAAGAGAGAGATGTTTCATTTCAAAGAGAGATCAATTAATGTTCTGCTTAGCCTGTTGACCCGTCTTATTATCATCAAGTCCATCAGTATTCAGGTAGGCACTTCAGAAGGAATAAGAGATAAAGCCCTCCTCATCACATCCTCGTTTAACCTTTAACCTCACATCAGTGGAAAAAGATAATTTCTACATCTTCACTATCAATAGCTGCAATCCACTGTGGGCTTTCTTTGAGACCTGATCAAAATAAATCTCAATAAAAAAGTTAAAAGAAGATCCATTCGTCTTTTTTTTTTTTACCTATTCCCAGGAGGACAACCGACGCCAGCGCCAAAAACGTCAGCATGGTTTCTGGTTTCTACGGAGCTCCCAAAAGACTTGATGCCAACGAGGAGTTGTGCCGACGAGGAAGGGGTCCCACTCTGGAGGGAGCGCGCGGAGTCAAAAGGAGGGCAAAGAAAGGAAAGGAAGAAAAGAGAGTGGATGGGGCGCAGGATGCCAGGACACGGGGCTTCAAAAACGGGACAACAACAGAAAACCTACTGTCCCCTTGTTTATACCCAATCACACCCCTCGCCCCAGGGCCCGGGCCCGGCCCATTCCTCCTCTCCACACCCCCCCCTCCCTCTCCATTTCTGCCCTCATTGAAACAAATTGCACACATTATCCTCTGAAGTGGAAGGAGGGAAAGAAAAACACCTGCGCTGTACAGTAGACGGTGAATTAATTGTGTAAACAAAAGGCAACTTGGGGCGAATTTGCAAACTCTGTGCAGCAATACACCATGATCAATGTGAATGTGTGAGATTGCACTCTCACTGTGATGTGCCCCGAGATGAGAGGGGAGAGATAATCAACGGTTTGCATGAGCCGGGGAATGTGTGACGGGGGAATCATGATCATCTGCAGCCGCTCTGCATGTGCTCGCTGCTCGTATGTAAATATTACATGAGGACGGGTGGGATGGCGGCTGTCTCGGCATGTTTACAGTGCGAGAGGAGGAGGAGGAGGAGGAGGAGGGGACGAAGGGGGATCCTGCACCGGGGTCAGTCCAGTGCTCTCTCCTCCCGTCCCCGTCCCCTCAACCCTCTCTGTGCACTTTCACCCGGTCCGAGGCCAGCCGCGCCAAAACAAAGCCCGACTCTTTGCTCTCTGTCCTCCCTCTCTCCAGATTCCTGTCGTTTGCTGACGTCTAGCACTTTGGAGACAATGGGGCGAGAGGGGGACAGGGCCCGACTGGAGCCTGTCAATGGCGCTTTCTTCCTCTTCGGCCTCTCCCTTTTTTTTTTTCCTTTTCTTTTTTCGCCCTGCCTCATCTTCTTCTCCTCCGGCCCCGGGACAAAGCTCTGTATTCAAAGTGGGGCGCCCACTCCTCGCTTTTCCAGTACCAACAGACAAGCGAGAGAGTGGGGAGAGACCTGCTATATATAGACGGGTTGATACGAGGACAAGATGCTCAGACATGAGAGCAAGTCAGCGGTAGACAACTGGGAAGAAGGTTGAATATAGAGCCAGCTGTGTGCATGAGAATTTCTGCAACAAAAAAAAAAAAGGCTAATTTCCTGAGGCCTCATTCCATCATCTTGTCACATGTCATAAATATGCATTCGCTAAGCCGCTGGCATCTGAAATGGTGAATACACGCAGAAATTAATGGTCTGCGGTGCTCCTGTGGCTTCTGCAAACACACAAGCTGGAATCACTTATCCTGTAAACCACATCAGGCTCCATTTGACTCCTCCTACCAAAGTCGGGAATGTATACTTGTGCGGAGTGTAAGAAGGGCAAGGATGTCCACTTCACAAACTTCTTAAGGTAATTAATTGGAGTGCTGAAAATCGACTCTTGGCCGGGACAGCAGGAAAGCATTTAGCGTCAGTGTCGCCCCCCCTTTTTTTTTTTTTTGCGCACATTCGAGTCCACAACATAAAATTCTTGCCACTTATGATAAATTGCAGGCCGCTCATTCATCTTAACACCTCGAAAATACCCCCACTGACGGATCAGCTGAACACAAAAAATGGACCATCTGCCAACTTGTTGGCGCCATCAACTGTCTAAGCTTTGGCTTGAACGTCTAAATCGCGACATCCTTAACAATTATGGCAGATCCTGCCTGCGGGGCCCCAAGAGAGAAACAGGGGGATTCTTTATGAGCCTGGCAGGTGCAGAATGTGGCAAGCGCCCAAACTCGTCAGTGCAGAGTGACGGTGGCAGCAGCAGAGCTTGGCAGGCAGAAACTGTATCACATATAGAGTGATGAGCGAAAGCACCCCCCCCCCCCCCAGTCCTTCAGCTGGCAGTAGTATAGCACACTAATGTAGGAGAGGGAGAGCTTATCTGCAGCTAAATTATACAGAGGAGGAGTAGTGCAGAGGGGAGAACACGGGAAGAGAGGTACCAGTTAGAGACAAACAGAGGAAAGTCGATCAGTGGAGCCATTTAGAGAATCCTACTGAATGATACAGAGATCTTCAGCTGTACTTTGGTGATATTTAGGGGGACAAGGCTTCAGATCAATTGGTGTTTTTAGAGATGAAGTGAAGAACCTCCGGCTTCAGCCACCGCTTTGTGAATGAAACCGTCTAAAGCTGTCTGCCTGTATAACTCATCAAGCTCGTTTCCACGGGTGGAGACAGTGGTGGCATTTGGTGAGGGCACGTTATTAGACACCCATGGAAATGTACCGAGCGTATTTTCCTGTGATATTGTCATTTTCTTTGACGTATAATTATTTCCATTCGGGAGGAAAAAATAAAAAATAAAACATCCCAGGCACAGATTCTAAAGACCGGGGATAATCAGAGTCTGGGAAAGTATCCCGAGCTGCAGAGATGTTAGGAGCTCTTGTCAACTCCATCCATGTCTAATTTTTCTGCAATGTCGAGTGTGTTTGTCACAGCTTCTCTGAGTGCAGCCCCTGATCGCAAGCCAGGCTGGCAGATGTGCGGAAGGGGAATGTCTTTTTTTTTTTCCCAAAAATGCGGAAAGGAGGGCTTCTGTGAATGGAGATGTCTTTGAGATTGGCCCTGCTGGAGGGTCTCTCACAAGTCAAGACGGGGGGGGGGGAGAAACCAAGAGAGACAGACGAAGATGCACAGCACAGAGGGCTGGTTCATACGAAGGTCATAAGACTAATGACTTTGAACAATGAACCAATGGAGTGCACTGCAGTCGTAGCCCCTTAAGCACAAGCCTCTCTCAGTGTGGGCCAAAGTGAAGCGGGGACAAGTGGGGGAACAACAACAGCCACCGCCATCATAAACCAATCATAAAATCGGTCTTGTAAACGACTACATCGGCTCACAGTTTCGCTGCAGGGCCCGGATAATCAAGTGAAGCATTTGCATAACCAAATAAGTCAAATGAGCCATGACGAGCAATTGGCCAGAAAACTGTCAAAAGTTAAGGCTAGGAGGCAAGGATTAGACGTAAATACAGCAGTGTTGTGCCATCGAGGGTTTTCTAAGACGACAGGTTAAAAGGCTGCTGACTTAAAAAAAGACCTTATACAGGAAGCTGACACATAAATATAACTAGAGAGGGTGTGAATGCATTTACCATCTAAAGGATGTGGGCCATACATCTGCAGTTATTTCAAGGTATGTTGGAAGATTGTAAGCCAGCTGCGGAAATCTGAAAAACAATTTGAACCAAAATCAAAATGATTCAATTGATTTTTATGCAACACCCGCATATCCCGTATTTCACATTTAAGACGGGGTAGGTGCACAAATACAGCTAGGAATAATGGATTAATAGTTTGAAATGTTCTGAAGCAGTAGAAGGTAAATATAGATAAATCAGAGTTTCAATGAATAAGCAGTTCACCTGAGAAGTAAAAAAAAGAGATTAGGAAACATGAATTTGTCATCTGCACTATTTCTGACTCGTGTTTTGCAGCTTGATTTCGGAATATAGACTGTTACTGAACATTCACACCATGAGCTTTCTTATTTTTTCCACACACAGTTGATATCGCCTTCAAAAGACAGACTCTTGGTGTTTCAGTAAATCATCAAAGGCTTTCTATTTATGCTCAAGTGGCTCACTGTAGTTTATGTAATCATGAACCTTGTCTGGAGCCGTTATAGAGGTTGGGTACGGTAATCTTAAAAAAGCAACACAAGCAGCAGGAGGCTGATGGTTCAACAAGTGGTTTGTACTTCAGCTGCATCCATATGGTGTCAGAATATCTGGAAGAATTAGTTTTCAACCTGGAATAAAATGCAACGCATCTCTGTATGTATGATGTGACCACATTAAAAAGTTACATCTCATGAACATGCTGAAGAAGAAAGATGGACAAATCTGTTCTGTTCTCTGGGACAAACTGAAATGTCCCGACAGCCCTTTGAAATGGACGGATTGCCAATAAAATAAATATTTACGGTCAGCAGATGATGAATTTTACGACTTTGGTGGGATCCAGTCTTTTTAAATTGCACCACCAGAGGGGTCGAGGGTTTTAGTTCGTACAACACTTTGGGTTCTGACAGAACACCCCGAATGACATCACAGCTGCTTTGCTATGTTTTTCATGTTTATTAACAAGTGTTAGCATGACAGTGTTGCAGTTATCGACCTTGCACGGAAGCTAGCACGGTTTCTGATTTAAACTCTCATTTCCCTGAGCCCCAACCCGAGTCACCACAGTCAAACCGCACAGTTTCATATTAAATAAGAGAGCTATGATGGTTTCTCAAAGCAGGGATAAGTGATGTCCTTCCAAGAAGAAATGCGCTCTAGAGGGCATTTTATAAATGCAGTATTTTCTCATTAAACTTGGAGGACCGGTTGGCACTGTCGCATACAACTTGCATGGGTTAAACTGAGATGATGAAGTGCCCTGATGAGTCACACAGCGTGCACAATCCTGCACTGTCTCTTCTGTTGAGGAGCTAATACCCTGTTAGAGAGGAGACTGGAGGACGAGGGAAATCATATAAAGGGCCCGAAAAAAGAGGGGGCCTGACATCATCAAATCCGAAAGGTTACTGGCCAACGCTTGGCACTCCTGCTCAAGAAAAACACTATTGATATTCCGTGGGTTCGCCCAGGGACAATGGCAGGGCCTGTCCCTCCCTCTCTCCTTCATAGCCTGGCATGGCAGAGATGTCACAGAGAGCACCAAACAAATGGATGGAGGGATAGAAAGGGACGGAGGGATGGGGAGGGGGTTGAGGAGAACAAACGCATTGTTCTCGGGGTGGAGAAAGGGGTATTGTGAACGAGACAGATAGCTTATGTGGGAGAAAAGGGGTGGGGGAAGAGAGAGGGCCACAAAGGACAGAGAAAGGTGAAACCTGGCATTTTTCATAGATGCCCCGTGTTTTTTTTTTTCTTTGCAGTTTGGGGTAATCCATAACTCTGCTTTAGGGGACACTTTATAAAACTTTAAAAGGGGGAACACAGCAGGTGCAGAGAGCCATCTTTAGCTCCCTCTTCATCTGTCACAACACCACAGATCAGTTTCTGGGGCTTTTTTTTTTTATCCACACTCCAAAGCCCCCCAACTGCTTCTAAACATGTAGCAA